TACATATATAGTACTTACGCAATATGGGCGCCCATCATATTGCGGTCAACGTATTAAATCAATCATATTTTTATTACACGAACAAAATATTTGTATACTTGATAAATTATTTTTCTCAATAAAGGTATTTGTTTAATCAACAAAACAAAAATTATCCCTTGCATACTAACAATATATTTTTTGATTCTATAAGAGTTTTTTTCAGTGCAGAAATAAGTGATATATATGTATATATGTGAAGTTCGTATATATATATATGCAATTTCTGATATAAAAGTGTACATTTTTTTTATATCTATTATAGAATATGTATATTATATTTTTATTTACTTAAACTTATTTTATCGCACATATTTAATTTTAAAAAAATTTTTAATTGTACAAATATATAATCAAAATAATAATGTAATAAGATAATTAATTTTTGCTTAAAGTTTTCATCATTTATTTGATAAGTATATCATGTTATGTAATGATAAAAATTATTTTTGTTTTGTTACTTAAATATTCTCATCCCATTACAATGAATTTATAGGCTTAGAAGGTAAAATACTAATGAAATCTATAAAGGATTAACGTTTATTCAAAATTATTGAGAAGTCATCACAGCACATTGATGAAACAGTAATTTAATCATTTAACGGTATTGTGTTGAGAAGCACAAAATACGCAGTAAATTTCTAAAGGCAAATGTGATATCACGTTCATTATTTAAAATGGGAAAATTACATTACACATTTCGTAAAACTGGGTGCATGTTTATTTGTTTTCACTACTTTGATTGAAAATTCACTCGAACAGCGTTGACTAATGTTGTTTGGTCTGGCAGAATTGCTAAAACTTCACAAAGAGTCGAAAAAGACAAAATAAACAAGAAAAACAACGTTGTCGCCCGATAAGTTGTTTGGTAACAAGTTTTAGCACTTTACACACGACGAAAATGAGCCATTACTATGTTTTACGAATGGCTAACTTTGAAATGACGATCTGCCTCCGAGAGTATTCATTTTAAAAACAATACAATCTCTAGAGATATGACCTATTAACTATACATTAGTTTTACTATTTATAACATAAAAAATAATAAACATGTATATAAAAATTATAATACAGTATTTAAATGATAAATTTGTTTATTGTTAACTTTAGATTGTATTGAGAGTAAATAGCAAATTAAAATTTCATGATGAATCTTAATATTTTTAATGAGAATAAAATTTAAATACGTAACAACTTCTCATTTTATAAAAACATAACTTTTTCTATTTTACCATCTGTGAGATTTTTTTTTATAATTTTAATAGTTATATTTACTCATTTATACCCTGCTTTACTAAATTTAGCACTTGAAACCCTATAAAATTTATATCGAAATTATAAACCACAACCCGAAAATTCATTAAACGAAACGATTTTGTATACCAAAACAATTTTAAAGAAAAACTAATAACTTTACAATTAATTAACAAAATTTAGGAAAGTTTTTGAAAATATAAACGGTAATATTTTCAACTAGATTTAATATTGATTTATCTTGATTGTTTTATTTTAATAGTCCAGTAAAACCTAAGTAGTAGGTAAAAAAACAATGATAAAATGCTAAACATGATAAAATTGATAACTTCTCAGCTACACATCAAAACTAAAATGAAACCTTTATTGATATAATTTTATAACTACTAAAATCAAGTATTTCATATTTGGTACAATTTTACACTATTAAATACAAAAATTAATATTTATGAAAAAAAACAATTTTGACGTTTTTTAAAAAAATATACTTTGTATACTAAAGAAGTAATTTAAATTAATCCATACGTAATTTTATTTGATGAGTCTTATAAAAAATACATACTATCATAGTAGAGAGAAATTATGAAATAACATTTTTAAAGTACAAACTTCATATTTACATTAAAAAGTTTCATTTCATGAAAAGTTTTCACTCGAAACTTTTCACACTCGCATCACCAACGTAAACTTTACAATTACTATACGAAATTATTGTATGTTATCAACCAACAGAAAAAACATTTATTATTATCAATCAAATGGTACAACAGTAATTCAAATAATGATTTTACTTTATACAATATGAAAAATTCAGCGACAAATAAAAATATTCTATAAATATTTCTGAATAATTGTCAAATTATCAGATTTCTAGATATCTTGAAAATCATCTCGTTTTTCTAATATGCTGTATATTAGGTTTCCAATATGATGAATTATTATTTATTTTGTTTGTTCATTAAACCAATTTCGAAATATATCTTGCATACTAAATAACATGGACGAATTAAGGCACGCAACGGGAATCCTAAAGACTTATGGAGATCATTTTGAATTTAATTGCCTCTCAATATATAGTTTAAATAAATAAAATTCATTTTTTTGCTTATTAATTTTTTATAGATGCGATATTTTCTTGGGATGGTTTACCATTTATTTATTAATATAATTCCAACCAGCTCCGATAAGTATAAATGAAATATATTTATTTACCACAATATTACTACGTTCAATTTTTACAGACTTGCTCAAAACATCAATATTAAAACTTTATTACAACCCTTTTCCTTTACGAAAAATTATTTTATCTGATGCTTAAAAATAAAATTATGAGAAAATTTTAATCATAAAATATTTATGAGTCAAAAGTAATGTATTTACACAAATCGCTTCAAAACAATAGTTTGGATAAGAGATACGACATTTCTTGTTGAATAAGTATAATATAAAGTATACAATTGAATTTTCTGATGAATCATCATTGAAATGAGTCGTACTTCTTATAAATTACCATTTTGATTATTTAAAAGGGAATGCAAATAATTAACATTATTTGATTAATTAGAATTTTGTTTATTTCAGTTTTGACACTTATTATTTAAAAACACATAAGGAAATTAATGCGTAATTTTACCGAGAGAAAAATAACTCCTTTCCAAAATTAGCAATACAAAATGCATTAGAGTGCATAAAAATAAGTTTATACAATAATTACTTATAACCAAAAATATATTAAAAAAATAATTATAAGACTATGATTACAATAGTAAAATAATTATATTTCATTATTTCATTTAAAATAAAAACCTAGGTTTATAAAACCAAATTTGATCATCAAAATTAAAAACAAAATTTATATTATTACATAATTTAAGTATGCCACTTAATGGTTCATTATAACTATAAGCTTGAGAGTAAAATGACTCATAAAAAGTAGTCAAAGTTCTCGTATTGAAAGACGGAATTAATCAATTTACTTTTTCTATTTAATTTTATCTTTTTTTACAAAATCTTCTTTTATTATTACAACCTTTAGCATTTGCAGTTAAATTTATTAACAATTTGTAAGACTTAAAAATATCATTTTCGTACGACCATATTTTAGTTTCAACAATTTAATAACTTTATAAATATAGTGTGGCAGCTCACTTGGTTCAGATTAAAAAAAATAACAATATGGTGCTTTTCAAAAAATGACACCGAATACAAATGTTTTCTATGTTTACCAGTTAACTTGGACCTGGTTCTTATTTATACATTTAAGGAGAGAATATCATAATAAGTACTTTTCAAGCCAAAATATTTTTTAGATTCAACTGAAAAATTAACATAATCTCTTTTATTTTAATATTTAAAATGTCAAATATAAACATGATGAGTAATTACATTGCTCGACGAAGTCCAATACAGTTATTTTACAGACTATTAACAACATTTATTGAGTTAAATTAATATAATTTTATTGAATTATCAACATTTTTGTAAAATTAACATATTCAATGTAATGATTAAGTGTGTGTCGAGAAATATTTTTAAAAGTATTAAACATATTATAATTTTTTTCTTATTAAAAGTTTATAGTATCTTATGCTCTACTGAGTGATTTTTTTAACATAACCCACTCAATTACTTACAGAATAAAAATAATTACAATTTTTTATTTTTAGTTACTTTTAGTTACATATTATTCTTGGATTATTAGCTATGAAATACTTTTTCAGTTCATTACTTATACCTTGTAAGGGTGTCGACTTTGTTTTTACAAATGGGAAAACATATTTTGAATTTAATAAAATGTTTGAGTTTTTATATTAATAGTAAATGGTATTTGGATTTTTAACATAACTTTATTCGTTTATTAGATTTAAAACTTAAAAATTTAATGTTTTTGAGTTATTATACATGTATAAAATGATTACAAGTACAGATAGTTAATTGATTTTTTATGACGTCGTCATCACAAATATAGAGCACTTATTATCAATTATGACTATTGATAGATATGCTTTCTGTATTGCCAGTTGGTGTATTTATAAACTCACAACAATATGCCTTACTACTATACTTAAAGCATATGTGTTGATAAAGTCATAATTGATAATAAATGCTGCGTATGTGCGAATAGCGATATCATATAAATGCAATTAGCTACCTGTACTTGTAATCCCTTGTGTATTATACTTGAATATTAACTCAAAATTTTGAAACTTTAAAGTTTTAAATCCAATGAACAAAATAAGTTATGTTAAAAATTCAAATGCCATTTACTATTAAAATAAAAACTCAAACATTTTATTAAATTAAAAATCTACGTTCCATTCGAAAAAACAAAATTAACATCAGTATTTTAGAATTTATTAATACTGCAATAATGACTAGAGGAAAAGCGCGAATTGTTTATTTTTATCTCTAGGTATTTATAAACTGCACTACTCCTCCAACCATAGAATAAAAGTGCTAATATCATTAAAATAATGGTTCAATAGCTATTATCGAGCAGTATTTTTTTTATTTTTAAGCAAGTTAAACATATGTTTCTATTTAAAAAAACTTAAGTTGATACTATTTTAAAGGGAAGCAAAGGGATAAAATAATTTGTTTCTATAAATTTAAAAATAGGGTACTACTAACTCCTGGAAAGAAAAAAATATAATATGTTTTATACTTTTAAAAATATTGCGAAGGTATAATTTATCAATTACCTTGTATACACGTTAACCTTCTTGGAAGAAAACTAAATTTATTTAATTGTTAATTCCTTTGATACATTTTTGTAGCTATTTTTCTTTGGACTGTGTAATTTCGCCTTTATCTTAGATTGATCTCAGTTTGAAAAATCGCATGAAGAAGGTAGTGGAAGTTTTTTTTATGTTTATCACACCAACTGAAAATGTATATATTACATAAATGCTGCTGAATATACGAGTCTTTCTTCTAACGTTATTCACTCATTTCTCATTAAATAATAATTATTATGTACAAATTAGTCTTGGAATTTTTACATTCTTATATTTCTTGATTTATTAATTATTAAGTATTTTTTTACTAACTTATAAGGGTATCATCAACTGAAATTATATTTAATTGTCATTATTATTATTTTAATGGTTTGTTTACAATTTGCTAACAATATAATAATTTTTGTTTATCGAGTTTGATATTAAAAAAATATATAAATATTCATATAAAACCATAAATATATAAATTTTTATGTGTTGGGTAACACGCGATTGTATGTTAGTATTATTAATAGACATCTAATCTCTGACCTTGATTCCCACTGTGATTCCATTTTCTCGGTGATGACATATACCTTTAGTTAATACATTAGACTTCTGTGCATAATTGTTCATAGTTTTCTAACGTAATTCATTAATATAATTTTGTTAATTTATGTTGAAGATATGTTGTTCACTATACCATAACCTATCATGCTTTGTTTATCACTTATGTTCCATGATAATACCAAATCAGTAAACAAATCGGTAATTTGAACATAAGCTGTGTGTTTACTACACTATATGGTTGTTTTTACAATACAAATGTCACATTACACAACTTTATTCTTTAAATATAACCACTGGATTACACTCAAAATAAATACAATATTGAAAACAAATTTTTGATTTATTTTAGTTGCATATATTTCTTGATTTATCAGCTAATAATTACTTTTTTTAATCATCCCTTATAACTTATAAAGGTGTCAACTTTATTTTTTTTTATGATAACATACAGTGGCGTAGATACAAGAGCGTTTAGGGGGTTTAAACCCCCCAGATCCAAAAAAGAAACTTATTTATAAATAAAGTAGAGGAACGATTTAAAATTATTTTTTATCATTATATTTTGACATTTTTTTAATAATATTATCAATTAATTTTAAATAAAAAAATGCGTCTTTAAATATTAATTAGTCAAAAATTTAATATGAAATAAACCCCCCCCCCAGAAAATAATCGTATCTACGCCACTGGCAACGTACATATTTAACTAGTTTGTAAAATAGAAAATAATTTAATAATGATAATGACTGGTCGATGATAATTTATGGACCAGTAATTTGAAAATTATACATAAGCGAGATAAATAATACTGCCGAGAAATGACTAGTGATAAAAATAGTAATACCCACTCCTCACCTTCACTCATAAATGTAAATTGTTAATAATTTCTGAAATACTGGTCCAAAAGTTGTTATCAAACAGTAATTTTCCTAACTAGACCATTTTGTATTTTATAAGCTGTTATATACGTATCTTATATTTAAATAAATAAAGTGGACACCTATTTAAGTTATAAGGGATAATTCAAAAAAGTAATTATTAGCTGATAAATCAAGAAATATATGTAACTAAAAGAAATCAAAAATTTATTTTACAATATTGTATTTATTTTGAGAGAAATCGAGTGGTTTTAACAAGAATTGGCGAGTTAATCAAAATAATTAAATCAAGTTAAGTTACGTTAAGTTAAGTATGAAAAATGTCAATAAATTAACAGTTAAAAGTTGCCAAATTATATATTTAACTAGCTATGTTAAAAGATAAGTTGAAATATTTTTTCAACAAAACTAGTTTAAAAAAAGTTAATTTCATTAAATAAAATTAAAACTATATTAAAAATATTATTAGTTTAAAAAACAATAATATTAAAGCCACAAAATTTTATCAGAAAAATATTAATTAGTTAAGTTGAAAAGTTAAAAAATAAACTTTTTGACTTAACTTTAAATTTAACTTTAAACTCATCATCATGTATATTTAAAAATGCTAATTATTTCCAACATACTAGTTAAAAAGTTTTTACCGACCAGTCATTAATTTAATTGGGTCTATTTTATTTTATAAGCTAGTAAAATATGTACAGTTGGGTTTTTTCCGCAATACATTCTAAAACAACTGGTGACGGTATGCACAGATACAATGATGTACAAATTTTCAAAAAAATAATTTCGCGATTTTCCGATATTTTATTTAAAGGATTGAATTTATATATCACCTTGTGAAATGATTTAAATACCTATACAGGCGTTACTTTAACATTAAATGAAGAGTGAATGTGTCAAACGTTCTATGTGCCAAAAACATATTTGTTCAGAAAACACAAAAAACAATGGTAACATGGGCATGTCCTACATATCGAACACCATCTATGAATACAATTTTGTACAAGTAAAAAATTTAATTGACATTTAAAACACATACAAGATTGTGGCTTTTGGCACATAGAACATAAATCAGAAATAAAACAATTTTTCACTTTTTTGGTACATAAAACGTTTGACACATTCACTCTTCAAATAAATTAATATTCTTAGAAATTTTGAAAAAAACAAAAGTTGAAGCCACTTTATTAATTGTAATTGTCTTTTTAAAAAACTTTAATTGTAATAAACACTATCGGTTATTAGATTTTGGATTGTTCAAAGAATGTGTTAAGCACTGTAACTTATTTCCACCAAAAATAAAATATAGAAATTTCTTCTTTTACATAGCCACAGAATTTTAATTAAAAATTTTAATCATATTGTTACGGGATAAATTCTAGAGTTTCAATATATTTTCTATGAACTTTGATGTATGAATTATTAAAAGTCAGCGATAAAATAAGTAATAAAAGTGTAGATAAAAATTGCTGTATACATTTTTCTTAGAATTTTTTCTATAATTCAACTAAAAATAACATTAACTACTAAAATAATTAAACAAATGTACCTTTTTTGGGTATTAACGAATGGCTTCTCGTCGTATTACTGTTATATTATATAATGGGAAATTACTTTGTTTACACTCCATATAACATCAGTGCTTCACATTAACTCCGTCGTGTATTCATTTTAAAAACACATAAATCTTACTCTTGGGATCTAATAGTAATAATTAAACAAGAGAATAAAGTCGTACAGCTAAGTTAAGCACAGTTTATATATATATATATATATATATAATGGTATTATTTAATTTTTTTATAATGTAAATAAAAAATGAAAAAAAACATATTTAAATGTGAAAATTATTTTCTTTATTGCTATTATTAATCAAAACTTATTAAAAAGTTAAATAAAATGTACAATATGAAATTAGGCTTTTCAAAATTGTATACGAATTACTTCGTATGTTGGAAGCTGAGATTAAAAAAAAATTTCTCGGAAACTTGAGTTTTTATATTAAAACAAAATTAAAACTGTGAACGCTAATTATTTAGTTTTAGAGAAACTTTATGTGAACTTTATTACTTGATAAAAAATGAAAAATTGTACGCGCTATAGATGTACATTTTGACGAGTATTCGTGTGCTTTAGCCATATTCGCCAATCCGAGAAAAATATATTAATTTCCTTACTTACATAAACGTTATGTATTGTATAGCGATTATGTAGCTGCATTATTATATTATACATGAAATCAATCACGAGATACTTCCTAAATAGCGGTTTGGTAGAATAGGGAACACTTCAAGCTTACATTCCGGTCGGTTATTGTTGACATATTATTGGAAGCAATTGTGTACATAAAAGTAATAAAAGTTTTTTTTAGAAAAGCTTCGAATTTTTTATTTAATCGCAGTCACTTTTGATTGATATGCTGTATGAACTAACTGATACGTCGATAGCATAGGGACGTGCGAGAATTAATCAATAAAAAAAATCTTTAGGAGACAATTTTGAGCCATTCTTTGACATATATTGTTGGAATCAATAATGTTGCCGTCTATACCAATGGCACATATGGTTACAACAAAGATATTATTCATGAATTAAATGGAAAAATATTCACTAGGTATCAATCACTCTCAAAATCAGGATATCAATGCAATATCATTATAATCCTCGGCACGACCAAACGACAATTTTAATGACATAAACCGTCAATATATAAAGGTGTTATTATTCAATTTTATTAACTTTTTGCACTCAACATTTTTTTTTTTCTTAAAAACATGAATGTCAACAAAAGAACAGATATTGTAAAATAAAAAGAACCAAGTATTATTTAATCTTTTTAACAAAATAAATCAACGCGCTCGTCATAATCCAATTCTAAATATTTACAAAAAAACTTCTAATTAGACGTCAGACCCTATCAAATTATTGACAGGATGTGTAAATTGGAACATAATGACCTATTAATTTACTTATTACGTATTCTGTGAGTCAAAAAAAGCGGTTAGGTAGAAAATATAGGTTTTCACTTATATACTTATGTAAATTTTATATAATGCTTAACATGACGATCCAGTGCCGGTATGCGAAAACTACAAACAAATCATTTCCATTCCTTACATCGTCTAAAATTGCCGTAAATACACCGTCCAGAGAAGCATACACGAAATTCTACCTACACGGGATGCAGCTTTTGAGGAGGCGAATTAAAATAATCTCATAAATTTCTTAAAATGTATTAATCTCTTAGATCTTATGTTAATATTAACGTTTAACATGTAAATAGCAAAATGTAAATAAATTATACATGACTAATGATCTTATCTGTCGAAGCTTTAAAATAAAAAAGATTGACCACCTCTCATTGTAAATAGTATTCCATTTATTTTTAGTATATTGAATAAACACAAATATGTTTTACTTGTAAACAGATATGCAAGAAACAGAGATTATCTCTGTTTTGTGATACTCAAAATATAACATAAGATCAAACGAAACCTACGCTTACGAATTTCTTTTTTAAAGTAAATAGGGATATTCAGTAGTGGTAACTCTACATAAACCCCCACTAGGGATATACTCATGGTAAAGACACAAAGGACATACTTAAAATGACGATCATCTTTTTTGTTGCATAGCCTGTGTATACTGCAATGTCCATTATAAGTTATGCTGTAACTGTTGTTAAGTATAAAGTATAGATAGAAAAAGTATGAAACACCATAGGTCGAATATTAGGGTGTGAAATTTTACATTAAGATTTAAACGTTCATAAACTAAGGCGCTTATCCTCTCCTTAGTGGATTGTTTACGACATAGTCACCATAGAAACGTGATGATGATGGCCCAAGAATATGTATTGAATTTTTGTTGTAAGCGTTAAGTTCCGAAAGCGATAGAATAAGGTAATGTCAGTGGTAAAATAAATGGTCCCGGTAAAGAAAAGATGAAAAAAGTATTAGCTACCAAAATATTCGTTGGAAAAAGGAGCCAGGCAAAAGTGTATAGTAGAAAATTTAATGAATACAAGCGCTACTTGGATGAAGAATAGCACAGTACCACCACTGCCATTAGATTTACAACAAAGGCACGAGTGCCCTCGCGTTGCCGTTGTATTTTTGTTATCGGTTATAATATTTCCATATCATTGCCTTTTTGTTTTGAACAATTTTTCTTTAACCCTCATCTGGCTTCCACATAGCGCTCTTTATTAACCTGTGCCCCTTATCCGACCTAAAAAAGACTGCAAAATTAAATTAAACAGGCATAATGGAAATTTGCCCTTTATTCAGTCCAAAATATTATGGTCCTTTGACTTATTGTTGGTAGCCTCAAAGAACAACATTGTAATCACTATTCCATAATACAAATTAAAATTTATTTCTTGCAAACCAATCATTTTTTTGGTATGCGTTCCACTATAGGATTTACCTTAGCGTCGCGCTTCACACTATCAAATGTCAAAGTATGCAATGTTATCAAGTTGATTTTAATTCATATCGTTTACTTGCATATAAATAAAAAAAACGCAAATTATAAAATATCAGAATATTTTTTTATATTTTATTATTCTATTTGATTTTAACTATCTATTTAGTCCTTATTCAAGTAGGTATAATAAAAAAATCAGGGTTTAAATTAAATACAATTTTAACTATTATTTTATATGTTGTTGCAGGTTTTTTATTTTTTTTATGCGTGAGCAAAAATTGTTTAATATAAAAATATTATTTTTGTACTGTCACGTTCATATGAAATTGAAAAGCTATTTTGTTAATTAAATACACAACAGTTAATGTTTTTATGCATAAAATAAATGTGTTTATGTAAATAAAATCTTAAAAAGATTTTTAATTTGAAAAATGTATATAATACACTGTAACGTAACAAAATTATATCACTTATTTTTTTTTATAATATATTTTTCCATTTATTTTGTTAATAATAATTATTAATAAAATTATTATTAGTTGAGCCGTTTGTGATTGGTATTAGCGTTTTGTATAATTCAATATGATTATTTGTTGTAAGGAAATCAGTTGTTGCATTGAACAGAGGTTTTATAAATGTATTATTAAAAATCTAGTGGTGTATAATTTAATCAGCCTAATTTACAAAGGTCGCAAGTCAAAAATTGTAAATTTTACAGGAAAAGAAAAAAACGTTTAAGATCTTATCAAACATTGTATATACAACGAAATTTACGGAATATAAAATCAATGAACCCATTTTTTTTTCTTATTTTATATATAAAAATGAAAAATTATGGTCATACGACCATTGCAAATTAGGCCGACGTGTTATGTATATGTTTCAGACAGTATTGAAGCTTCACCGGACGTATACATTCTTCTCTTCACTTATCCAGCTCCAAATTTAATAACGCCGCTAATCATCACTGTTCAAGTAATATTTCGTCAGCTCTGATATTTTTCTATATCTTTGATTATTTATAAAAAAAACATCTCAATATCCACCTCAAAAACCAGGGCCAAATTCTCGAATCATCATGATGTCTCCAAACGCGAGTAGCTGTTAGTTTCAACGTGATTTTTCTGTTTATTTTGTTATTTCTTGCTATGCGTTTTAGCATAGCAGAAAATTAACTTGATATATCTTAGCACACAAGTGATCGTTTGTAAAATGTAAGTGTTTCTAAAAGATGCCGACCAAACCCAATCCTTTAAAGTGAATTTTTTAATTTAAGTTTATTAGTAACTTTTTATTTTATTTTACAGTGGAAATAAATGTCAATAAAAATCTTAAATCACAAATATTTTTTTTTAATTATTTTATTTCTTTGAGTGCTGGGTAGCTACCCCGGAGCTATATCCTTATTTTAATTTCAATCATGGTAAGTTAAGAATATTACGTCGACAGACAGTGAAGAGAAACTTATGGAGATTTTTTTGTGTCGGTAATTATTATAGGACGTCGTTTCAAGACAGCAGTGTGGGAACACATTGGGCTATTACAATATCGACTTGATAAATTTCTACATAGATGTGAATATTTTTGATCATACCAGAGGAAACTTTGAAAAATATTGGTGTCAATCTCTCAATATAAATCAAAATAAGGATTAAATATTAAAATTATATTTTTAACAATATAGTTGCAATGTTACAATGTGTTATAAATTGTACATTGTCCGTGTCAATTATTAAATAAATAAACCTAATAAAATATAGAGTTATAATAATCTTTTGCATATAAAAATTAGTTGCAGATTTTATACAAGAAAATTTATTATTTTAAATTAAATCATTTTCATAATTAGTTTATTGATAACGCATAGTGACCAATATATTACTCGTCACTATCATAATATGGAATAACAGTAGGCTGCTTTATTTGTGTCCACAATAATGGTCTTTCATTTGATCTTTAAATTATTCAATACTTCAATTTATAAATTATATTCATATCATTAAAAATAACTTGTTTACTATCAACAAAAATAATTTAAATAACTATCTTAGATAAATATTTACAAATACACACTATTGTTCAATCATATTATATCACACAAGTTTCAGTCTTAAGTCACGTTTATACCTTTAAAAATCACTCTTTTCCAGAAGAAATCTATAAATTACACTTGTTAGGTCTTTTTACTCTTAATTATAAAACGCAATATGTCAACTCTAATCTTAAATGTAAAAAAAACCATATTGACGTTATATAAAATATCAAAATGATTTGAGTATTATTCCCATGTATTAATTTATATATTTTATGTATTAAATTATATATTTTATGCTTACTTATCAATAAACAATAACATTGCAAGAATTAGATAATGATGATTGTTCGGAGATACAAAATACTATAAAAAGCAGAGCATTACGTCACAGCCGGCTAGTTTTAATCGCACTCTCAACATCATCACGTAAAATTTGTAATCATCACTGTCGGAATTTTTACATCTTAATTTGTGATCTAAAAGTCAAATTTATGTTACTTTGTTTATCAATTATTAATACTATCTCTGAAGTCATTATAAGAACAAAAGAAAATTATCAGATAAAATTTCAAATCATTAACAGTGAATGCTTATATTATTTTATGACCCTCAAATTGCACCCCAATAAAAGTAACTCGCACCTTTTATCCAACACATCTTTCAATATTTTCACATTTTAATCTTTTATTATTTAGTTCAAAAAAGTGTTCTTCTTTTCCTTATTTTATTATTTTTTGAGTTACGATAATAGTGTGATACATATACATGGTACCATCTGACAGACGTA